AAGCGTACGTAGAAGTGCTCGACGGTTCGCGCGTACATCCCGAGACTTATGAATGGGCCAGAAAGATGGCAGTTGATGCACTGGAATATGACGACGAGGACGCCAATCCTGCCGGCGCTTTGGAGGAGATACTCGAATCGCCAGAACGCTTGAAAGATTTGGATCTCGACGCTTTCGCAGAAGAACTCGAGCGACAAGGTTTCGGTAATAAATGTGTCACTCTCTACGATATCAGAGCTGAGTTAAACAGCCGATACAAAGATCTCCGCGTATTATATCAATCATCGAGCGCGGAAAAATTGTTCGATATTTTGACAAAGGAAACACCCGAAACTTTCTACGTCGGCAAGCTAGTGCTGGCTACCGTAGTCGGCATCAGTCATCGAAAACCACAGGGCGATCAGCTTGATCAGGCGAACCCGGTGCGAAACGAAGAGACTGGTCTATGGCAATGCCCTTTCTGTCTGAAGAACGATTTTCCCGAGTTGTCGGAGGTGTGGAATCATTTCGATGCTGGCGCTTGTCCGGGTAAAGCTACCGGCGTGAGATTGCGACTGGACAATGGTATCTCTGGATATATTCACATCAAAAATCTGTCGGACCGGCACGTCGCAAACCCTTGTGAAAGAGTCGGTATGGGACAGATTATTCATTGCCGGATTATTAAAATCGAAGTAGACCGATTCAGTGTCGAATGTACCAGCAAGAGCAGCGATCTTGCTGACAAAAATCATGAATGGAGGCGAGTAGATATTTATATAGACATACGAAATAATGTTAATAAATAAAGTAATTTCTATTTAAATCTATCGTCTTTATAATCATATGAATAAAAAGTCTGCAAAAATAGAAAAAAAAATCATATTTCTTAGTTTAAAATATGACATAATTTTTTTAAATATATTACCGTATACATTTATTATTATAAATTGTAATTGAATTTGCAGGCCACAGCGAGATCCATTTTATGACACCGAATCCGAGCAAAGAGATGTAAAGGTAGAAGAGGACGCGAAGAAAGCAAAACAGCGGCAGATCTATGTGAAACGCGTTATCGTCCATCCATCCTTTCATAATATCAGTTTCGCCGAGACTGTAAAATTAATGCAAACAATGAAGCAGGGCGAAGCAATAGTCAGACCGAGCAGCAAAGGCGCCGACCATTTGACAGTCACGTGGAAAGTTACCGATGACATTTTACAGCACATCGACGTTCGTGAGGAGGGTAAAGAGAATGCTTTTTCATTAGGACAAAGCTTATGGATAGGCAACGAGGAATTTGAAGATCTAGACGAGATTATCGCTCGACATGTAAATCCTATGGCCGCTTATGCCTCCGAATTGCTGGATTTCAAATACTACAAGTCCACTGTAGAGGGAATCAAGGACAAAGCAGAGGAGATACTAAAAGAACAGAAAAAGGAGAATCCTAATGGAATTCCATATATCATATCGGCAGCTAAGGTAAATAAGCGCATAGCTGATTTTTTACTAGTATGTAACATAGCATTTTTCTGAAAATCTTTTTATTTTTAATTTAAAAACAATTTCGTTTATTTATCTTTTATAGACTTATCCTGGAAAGTTCTTACTCTCGTATCTGCCGCGCACTCGTTGCCGTCACGAGTACGTCACAGTAACATCCGAGGGCTTTAGATTTCGGGCGCAGATGTTCGGTAGAGTGAGCGATTTATTACGCTGGTTCAAGGAACACTTTAGGGATCCCGTTCCTGGACAATCCACTCCTAGTACACCGCGCGGTGCGATGACTTCTAGAACACCTTACACTACTACGCCAGGAACAGTCAGCGGTAAGTTTACATTGTCACTGTAAACTGACATTGTCAATCACTCTAGAATCGTAGTATAGGGTAAATTCCGGTATATACGCCGCACCAATCAAAAACTTAATTTATTAAATATTATTTACTATGTTTAAAGTAAACGAACTATATCAGTAAAACTTTATACTGTTATTATGAAAAATATTACTATTATTATGAAAAAAATATTAGAAATCCGAAATATTTATTTTTCGTATTAAGAAATGAACTTTTTGAAACCCTTGCATTTTTGCGGTATATCCTATAGGGATGGGATATATGGCTACTCATAGAGGGAGAGGGGAGTATGTACAGCTCATGAAAAATTTACAAATAATGCTTATTTATAAGACATAAAATGACACAATAACTTATAAAATATGTTTATAAAGTTTTATTAAGGAATAAGAATGATAAATATGTATATAAAGTAATAAATAGTTACAATTTTCCTACATATATTACAAGTGTTATGACACGAGGTACGTATTTCATGTAATATATTCATTGCATTTAGTGTACTAAATTCAATCTGCGCACTTTGTATGCTTTGGGCATAAATCCCATCCGCTACAAATGCCATATATCCCAAACAGGTGGGATATACAAGACAGCAAATTAAACAAAGAATACGAAAGCAAAGCACTTGTATTTTGCTGTAAGACATGCTTTACTTTATTCTTCTACACGTATGTATCACGAAATAACCACTAGGTCTTTTACACGTCCTACAGTAATCATTTTATATTTATGATGGCGTTACTTATTACAATGACAAATCGATTCAATTCATAATAATTTCATTAATATTAACAGTAAGAAGCTAAAATCATAACACAATACTAATATAACACAAAGGCATGTAACAGAGTAGTTGCGAGAAAATTACCCCCACTCCTTCTATTTTTTCTGACTTCTGCGGTGTAAATCCCAGCGTGGCGTATTTGTCGGAGTTACCTTAGGTCAAACCGTATATTTTATTTAAAAACAAAAAACTATTTTTCAAAATTAAGTCATTCTGTGCACGCACACACACATATTCTAAGTTCAATTATTTTTCGCATACATTCGCTGAAATGAAATAAAACGCACAAATGCAAACACATGATTTTGTCGTAAATTAAGTGAAATGTACAAATATATACGGACTATAATGTGTTAATTAATATTACAATTGCTACTGTTTTAGGAATGAATCAAGAAGCAATACAGCGAGTTGCACAGAATCTTCCACATCACATGTTACACTCGTTATCACAAGTGGCGAATCAAACGCCGCATCATTATCCGCCACATACCCCGGGAGCGGCTAGTACTACCGGCTATGGCGGAGGACATACGTATCCCAATACGCCGTACACGCCGTCTGGCCAAACTCCGTTTATGACCCCGTACCAGACGCCGCATCATACGCCGCATCATAGCCAGCCTACCCCCAGATACGGTCAACAAACCCCTAGCCATCATCAAGGGCCCTTTGTACATCCGCCACCACCTTCGATGACACCCAGCCATCACAGGTCTGCTCAATCGCACAGACCTACACCACCCTTGTCTACTCCTTCCGGTGATCCCATGGATTGGAAGAAGGCCGCCGAAGCATGGGCACGTTTAAAAAGCGGTCCTCGAGTCTCGTAAGTATATATTGATTAAATAACAATCATTTTCAATTTTTTAACTGAAAATTGTTGATGTATATAAGACGTCAAATGTTTTTCATACGATTATCGTCAATGATTAAATGTGCTTGCAGCGGATCGACGCCTAGATATGAAGAATCTAGAAAAACTCCGCGTAGTTATGACGAGTCATCCGGCAGAACGACGCCTTCCGGAAGGAGTAGACCCTCCTCCACACGTACTCCGTCGTATAAATCTCCGCGAGGCACTCCACACACGAATTCTAGTCCACGGAGTATGTCCCTCAGCGGAGATGGTACTCCTTTATACGACGAGAGCTAACGGGATTGTGCATAGCTGATTTATATTTATTAGTTACGTCTCATATCATGCTATGTATGAAACAATAAAAGTACGCGTTGCGAAACATCGATCGCTCGCGTCGAATCGATCATTGATCGTTGTAGACATGCAATATGCGTAGTGAATTCTTCCACTTTCTTGCACGCGAGATTTTGTTTGCGAATCAAGAAAGGAATCGTCGATTGGTTATTATAAACTACGGTGTTGTACTGTAATTTATTTATTATGTAATATTTCGCGGTTTCTTCCTATGTACATAATAAAATTTTATGGAAACTTTATGAAGGCCTCACGAACACACTCTGCAATCTCTTGATTCACTTTCCTACACATTGATGGCATCAATGAGAAAAATAATTTGAATAAAAAAAATTTACTATAATTTTTGAAAGGTTTTTATTTATCGGTGACTGTAGAAAGATATCAAATATAAAACTAAGATAGATTTCAAATATAAGGTCAAGATAGATTCATAATATTTTACTCTTATCTATTAGACTCTATCTTGATTTTAGTATATATTATATATATTTTATATTAGTCATAATATTTTAGCGGGCATTGATTATTGTTCAAAGATATATTTTATATTTTTCATTGGTGCCATTATGTTTATAATATAGAGAATTAATCTAATTACTTATCGTATCAGCAATATAATCTCTCTTGAATATAAATGCCGCATTGTTTACAGACTTCTATACATAAATACCTGGACTGCTATGTTACAATCAGAAAAATGAAAGTATTCCAAATGGCCTCAAGAGAGATGGTGAGTTTTAAATAAATTTAAAGTTATCAGTAACGCTACTTCACAAGATATTAAATGTATGAATTCACATGAAATAAAAAAAAAACTTGCCTTAGACTGATTCATAATTGTTGCACGTTAGCGAGGTCTAGGTATTCTATAGAAATCTGTCTTATATATATTAAGTCTTTATAAGAAAATATCTGTAGAATATTTAAATTGTTCAAAAATAATATCGCATTTACTTGACATCGTTAAATAGCTTGCATCTGATTTTAATGTCTTATTTAATCCTTGAATAAAGATGAAAGATGATTATCTTTTGTATTTGTATCAACTACAAAAAAAAAGAATAAAATAGCATTCAACATTCACAAGATAATATATACATATATGATGATAAATATGTAGAAAAATATTTTTTTTTAATTAAATTTTCGCTTGTTTGTTATCAATATATAAAATAACATTTATACGAAATTACCGTCCGAGATTATACAAACGATTCTTCGTCCTCTGATAGGGCGTCTTCTGATTGCAAAATACCTTTATAATAATTATATATCACATTTTGCCGCTTCCTTAATGCCATGGTATATTGTGTTTCTGAATTTACATTTTTGTTTATCTTACAATTGCGCATATACTGCATAAAAAAGATACAATATAATTTCTTTCTTGAAAATATATGATAAGCAAAATAACTGTTTCGATTAATTTCAATGTTACCTTTCGCTTAAATTTTGATTTTTGCTTCTCTTCGCTGGAATCGGTAGAGCTCGTCAACCTCCGTCGTTTGCCATGGACAGATTTCCTCGAGTTATCGGATCTCTTTGCATTATTCGCAGCATTGACCATACGTGATCTTTTAGAACCTCGAGACTTTTCAATAACAATCGTTTAAATTAAAAAAAATCCATAAACTTTTTGTTAAAACTTATATTTAACAGAAATATAATTATACAAACTTACTTGATTTTTACTTATATCTAAAGTATTTGATTCAGACATTTGTTTATTTACATTTTGCTTCTGTGATGTATTTCTAGAAATCCCATTTTGTTTATTTGTTTCTTTATTAGTATCCTATATTTCACAATAAAATATGTACAATTATAATAAAAGCCGATGTAAATATTTCTGTAATTATAGAAATTTTTACCACAGTATTGCTTTGAATTTCTCTTGAGTTATCAGTCTGTGAATGTAACGATGATTCCTGTAAATTGCCCGGACTATAGACTGGATTGTTATCTTTCAACGTTACACGCTCACCTGTAAAAAAATAATAGTAAAAAATAGCTTTAGATTATTTAACTATTTTTGTAAAAAATTAATCTATCTTTCCACATTTTTATTATCAATCTATTCACCTGTCCAGTAACATAACGGAGGTAAAATACGACGACCCCTCGAACTAACAGGTGCATTCAGCGAGTCCACTGTTGCATCATGAAGTTTCTGTCCAATTTCTTGAATATTATCTAGGGAACGAAAATGAATGCAACATATGATATTTATTAAAAGTTAAATATAGTTTAAGAAACTTACCTTGCTGCAACATTTCCCAAGTCAGACAAAATTGCTCGAGCTTCAAAGGACACCCATAACGACATTGTTTTACAAGTTCCTTGGGAATAACTAGATATGATAAAGCAATATTGTTAATTATCAAATATTTATCAGTGTACAATGTTAATGATTTCGGATACTTTACTATGCTTATTGTCGTTTAAATTTCCAAGAAGTTTATAGAATTCATGATGCACTGTTTCGATTAGTGTCGCTGATAATCGCTTCAGCACAATGTCTGTTGTATAATTTCTGTGCACAATGTGGCCAGCTTCACTATAAGTAAAAAGAAAGAACAAAATATATCGTTTAATTATTAATTATAAATAATATTATATAACTATAATCATTTGATTATTAGATATACCTATTATCTAAGAGAACTTACTTGACTAATTTTCCTTGAAAAGTTAAACCTAATTCAGATTTTGATTTCGCATTATATACTACTTTTGGTATCCATGCAGTCAACATTTTAGGTTTTTTTTCAACTCCATGCTGCTCTTTGCTGCTTTTAGGTTGATCAGTTGTTGGATTCATCGTTGGATTAGTAGAATTTATATTATGCGATTTATTATTTGTTACCGGATAAACTTCTCTTTTATTGTCAATTGTCTTTGTATGAGAATCATTAACCACAGGTTTTAAAGCGATTGACGTGAACGTTTTATCAATGTTTTCCAACGGCCGAATATTTGTATTCTGTTTATCATTGTTAATTATTTTGGAAGGCAGTTGCTCGGCAGTTGCATTCAAGTTTTTTCTACTTATTCTCAACTTCAAATTTACCGGCACCGAACTGACTATGGTAGGTTTGGATTTTTTCATCACAATGTCGTTTTTCGTTTGTTCAATAAATTCTGTATGTAATTTCGAAAAGACATGGGGCTTTTCGGAAAACTCATTATTTTTGCTGATTGCCACAATGTCTGGGTCCATCTTAGCCTGCGATGCTATTACGTTTCCACCTGCAGTCCGTGAACTTACGGTTACAATGTCTATGTCAGAATTGATATAATCAACATCTGAAACAAACTGTGAATGTGCATTGTTTTGAACTCTAGGAATCTCTTGTTCTTTTATAAAAACATCCGAATTGACTCTTTGTGCGTCAAAAGCATTAATTGGATGTTTATTTTGCACATGCCTTACAGATTTGCCTTCCTCATTCACTTCAAAATAATTTGTCTTCATTTCTCGGTGACTGGAATAAGTCATTTTTTGTGATCTTGGACTAATAGGTATTGTTTGGCGATACTTTTTCATGTTGTGCACTGTTCCCATTTCATCTTCTGTTATACTGACGCAAGATTCATCTGGAAGTAATTTTTTCTCTTCATTCATTGCCATATAACTGGACTTAGTTTCTTTTGTATTGTATGCCAGATTTGTCGTCCCATATTTGTGAGTATCCGGATAAGTCGTTTTCTTTCTCACTTTACGTTTACATATCCTTCCAAGTGATTCTGTAGCTTTTAAAACTTGTTTGATCGATATTTTGCGTATACCCGCATAAATCTCGCTCTCCAATTTATCTGAATCGTTGTTGTGTCCCGGTTTAAGATTTGCTGAATTCGATAGCTGGATAGTATTAGAATCACTTTTTATACTTCCGTATCCCGGATCAATGGAGTGTCCAATTGTGTAGCTTTTCAATTCCGTCGATTTGTTTTGAAGCTTATTAGTGTTCACAGAGTTGTCATCACACACTAAACTCTTTTGCAATGACATTGTTTGTGATTGATATGTTTCATGATTTGTGGAGATCATCGAATCGTTATTGCATTCTGATTCCGTTCTGTAAGACATTGCATAATCCAAACAATCCAACATCTCAATAATTTTGTTGATGTATTTCGGAGGGCAATTCTTATCTGCCAAATTGTTAATAATGATGTTCAGTTTATCTTCCTGAAGAATATCCTTCAATTTATTTACTTTCCTACAACTGCCTGATGAATTTATATCAGATTTGAAATTTTGCTTACTAGCTTCATCACATAAAGACTTTATATTCTTTGTTTGTACAACAGAGATATCTTTTTCAGAGTTGGAAATAAAAGGTTTTATAAACGAAATATTTTTTTCACTTGGAATACTATGAGTAGAATAATTACATATTTCCTTCTCTTTAGATATATTGTTTATATTTTCAGTCTTATTAGACTTGTTTAAATCACAAGATTTTATTGCAGAAATAGTTTTCTTATTTTTTACATGTGCATAAGTCATATCTGTCAATTCGCTTTTTAAATCGTCATCACTGTCAGTAATAGGGGTGGGCCAACGAAACGTTACTGGACATCCTTGCTTAGCATATGTCCTCCATATTTGATGAACGTTTTCCCAATCATCAGGAAAACCATTATAAAATTTTCCGTGAATATAATCCGGTAATCCTGTAATAAGAAAGATATACAAGTTATTAACTCTCAATCGATTATTAGAATTTTGTACTTTCTGTTAGCAATATGGATCTTTCAGTTTCAGTACAGATTTTTACATTATTTTAAATTATATAAAATCTGAAAAAATTCTTGCATATTTACAAAAGCTGTAACAACGAGTATTTATTATCGTAGAAGTCGGATTGCATTTTACTTATTTTTTACAGATTTACATTTACCTACCAGAATATACAATAAAAAAAATCAACTGTGCTTTCAAAGTCCAACTTGGCCAACAGAGAGTTAATATATAAACTATGAAATTTTAATGAATTTTATATAAATTATTACCATTTCTTTCATCAACAATATTCCCCGTTAGAATATATATATGCTTGTATTTGGATTCAATACATTTTGTAGAGTGTCTTCTTATAACCGGTTTACTACGTACAACCTTACCACTGTTTGCAAAGAAAATAAACATTACCTGAATGTTAATGCAGTTTTATTTTGTACTTACCAATCTAAAGTTCCTTTAATTATTAATTCGTATTGGCTGTTTAATGTAACTTTCCATTTCGAAAATACTCGATCAATATTCTGAGAATTATGGACAGAACTCGGTGAGACAAAAGTTTTCTGGTACTCTGGTACAGTAGATCTGTCAGCATCTGTATTAGTTAATATCCAGGTAGGAGCGTTCTTCAAAGACCATGTATTTACTGTTGAAGAACATATAGATGAATCAAATGAAGGCACTTTTTCACAATTCGACGATGCATGGACTCTATTTTGTGATTTCCGAGCAGTATGATAAACTGTGTTTCTCATTGGGGGTGGCATAGCAAGTTGATCGGCATGATTATCTTTCTTGACATCATACTGTTTGAGACTGGATGTAGTCATCGCTTCTTGCTTAAAATTGTGGCTCTTCTTTAAAAGTATATTTCTCAAATTATTGCTGGAAGATAAGACTTCACTGTTGATTGAAAAAGTTTGTTGCAACGGTGTTGCAATGCTGGAATCTAAAGTATCTACATTAATACTAGAAATACTCGGCCAGGTTATTCCGGTCAATGATTTTTTATCATGCATGCTCTTGCTATCCTTTTGCAGTACAGCTACTTTCAGTGCTCGTTGCAGTTTCTTGAATCGTTCGTCTGTTTCCAGATCTCCAAATTTAACCTATGGAAAGTATAACTAAAATACAGTTCGTAGGCTCATAAGTTAATAATTAGAATTGTTCTAATCTTTATATTAACAAAAACATACGCTCATGATGATTAGACATTGGAAGATATCAGTCCTTGATTATACTCATTGTTAGGACATAAAGTTGCGAGTAAAAATTTTACTTTTCGAAAAACTAGAAATAGAAAGAAGCAACTGTAATGATTATGACAATGCAACAGGTTTGTAGAGTAGGTATAAGAGAATAGCGCTAATTTTAGCCGGAAGTTACCATTTCCAACAAATATTTAAAACGCAATACTTCATCTTAACCTTTTCTCTTTCTAACGTCTTAGGTTTGTTCGCGCCGCAAGCTCGACATGTTCCAACATGCTCCTACCATAGCTCCTACTCACTCTATCAAGCGCGTTGGAGTGAGTAAGAGTTATAGTAGGAGCACATTGGAACATATTGAAGCGTGCGACGCAAACAAACCTCTTCTAATTGACAGTTGAGCTATAAATGGCGGAGCCAATCAGCATTAGGCACATGCATTGGCGCTAGTCTTTTTACACCTATTCTACTGGTTTGTAAAGTCAAACATTTTTCTCTCTGTAGGCCTATTCTATAACTTTTTAACAATTTTAGCTCAGCATTACTAGCTCGGAATGTCGTTACGCAGGTATTTTACATGATAAAAAAGCTGCGCAACGACAATATAACGATACCGAATTAACCGTTAAAACTTATGGAATAAACTTACTGTGCCTCCTTTCCAATTAATGTCAGTTAATGTTGACTGATGTTGATTTCTGCACATTGGAAATACTGGGCCAGGTTATTACGATAGATGATTTTCTATGGTGTACGCTCTTGTTATGTTCCTTTTTCAGTACAGCTAATTTTAGGGATCGTCACAACCTCTTAAATAGTTCATCGGAAACTGACGGAAACGCTTGCCGAGCGGCAAAATGCGACGCAATAACCACTAATGCCTAAAGGTGCCTTTTCATGCTGACGCTCGACGCTCATTTTCAGCGTCAAAATAGGTCACGTGATCAAAATTAACGCTTGATATTCGTCAATTTCTATCACGTGATTTAGGCTGCGGTCCACTTGACGCTACAAACGCTTCGAAGCGTTTGAACGACCAATCAGAACAAAGAATTTTACGAATTGACTAATCAAAGAATGCTTC